TGGTGTGAAACAGTCCATGTGCCTGATGCTACTTAATTTCCTTGTAGTCATTTGGTAGTTCTTCCAGTTCCGCCAAATTACCCATGGCTTTCATTTCTTCTTTTTCTGACAATATTTATACTCATGTTTCCAAATGCTATGACTGAATCCTCATGTGAAAAGAGAAATACAATTTCTACCCAAATTTAGAGGTTACCAAGGGAGATGGATTTGAGCAGGGATTTTGACCTGGGTTTCCAATACTCATGTTGCTATGATGCTGGAAGCTATGCCACTGGGATTTTAAAACTCAGCAGGATCACCTATAATGGGCAGGTTTTCACGGAACTTCCAGCCTATGATAGGCTAAGGAGAGGCAGACCACTTCTGAATGCTTAGTAATTGAAAACCTAATGAATATCAGTAAAACATTGTTAGGGATAGTGACAAAAGATAAGTCCTCCAGGTTGGAATGAATTAAAAATATGACTGGTGTCTTAGCTTTTCTAGAGAAACAAAACCAGTGAAATATTGTTGTTGTTGTTAAGTGCTGTCAAGTTGGTTCCAACTCATAGAGGTCATGTATAGGGTTTCCAAGGACTGGCTGGTGAGTTTTAACTACTGTCCTTGTGATTCAAACTGACCTTGTGATCTAGTGCTTGTCTTATAGCACCATGTCAGGACTCCAGTGAAGCATATGTATGTATATGTATAAACAGAAGTTATTATCAAAGGCATGATTTACAATATTAGAGTCCCAGGTCCTCAGTGAAAGAGATAGAGAGACTTTCCCATGTGTCCATTATGTTGGGAACAGACCACACCCTCAAAGAAGCATACCTCCAATTGATTGGATGCTCATAGCCACTCATTATAGACTTAACTATGCCTGTATTAGGTTTCATCACTGCGAGAATAAGTGTATCTCAATTTCTAAACCACTTGAAATCCTTTCCTCGTCAAGTTAACGATTACCTTCCACCTTTGTCAACTTGACCCATATAAACCATATGCACGATCTCTAAATAAAGAAAATTATAAAGTCACACTTGAGCCTAACATGATATAATTAAAACACATGCAACTGAAAATTCTCTGGACCCATTTACATCTTATATGTCAAAAA